TTCACACAGCTGCCTGGATTACTTATTCAACCAACCCCCTACACCAGGGCTGTCAAACTCATTTTCACCAGGGGCCACATCAGCCTCGCAGTTGCCTTCACAGGGTTGAATGTAATTTAGGACTGTATAAAGGTAACTACTTCTTAACTAGGAACAAGGAGGTCGGGGCTGCCGCTGGGTGAAGTAAGGTGCCCGGCTGGATATAACGAGGTGGAGGGCCGCGTTCTGCTCTCCGGCCTTGTGTTTGCCGCCTGTGCCCTACAACCTAATCCTCCCTTCAGAAAAGAGAGTTTGTGGCTGGCGGTGGCCATGGCTGGTGGTGGCCATCCTCATGCCCCCTCCCTGTCATCCTCACCACCCGGCTCCCTCGAGGCCACCTCCACAATGAGCATTTCACACCCTGCAGGAACAAGGGTTTTCACGATAAACATCCCTTTTCAAGTGTTTACTGATGCTGAAACTTTCTACATTTAACCTCTCTACAAAAGTGACGGTTTTGCTCAAGAGGAAACATTACTGATTCAACAAATGAGAAATAAAAATCCCTTTCTGTTTTGGTTTTATCACTGGGGATAATGTGAAGCAACTGAAGTTGAAAATTTCCACATACCTAGTTTTTTACTAAGAAAAGGTCTCCTACCGAATTTTTTAAAAATGAAAACAAAGAGCTTAAAATGATCCAAGTTTTATTTTTAACCTACATAATGAAAAGTTTCCAATACAGTGCCAGCATAATAATTTCCATGATTACTGTGGTTTTGTAATGTGTTGACAAAACTGCAATGATTATGGAAATAATTATTGACAGTAATAAAATAAGTTAACCATTTGAAAGCTGTACCTGCAGACAACTGAGTTGTGAAGAGGGTCGTGCTACTGTTTTCTTTAAGTGTGTGCCTACCATCACCACTTACACCTGGCAACTGCACACCTTCTGGGGCCCACCACGAAACCCCAAATATAACTTCATGACACATGATAACTTATATATCCATGAGATGTAAAAAAAAAGATGAACATACCAAGTATATCCATTAATTTCAGAAGTGAGGTTAGCCCTGGCCAAGTGGCTCAGCTGGATGAATCGCTGTTCCATCCACCAGAAAGTGGCAGGTCTGAGCCTCAGGCACAGACCCAGGTGTGGCTTCTATCCCCAGTCAGGGTGCATAAGGAAGGCAACCCCATGGGCGTTTCTCACCTTGGGGGTCTCTCCCCGCCCCCTCCCCTTTCCTTTCTCTCTACCAGCGGTATGTATGTCTCACGGGAGAAAATGTTTTTTAGTTATAAAAAGTATTTACAGTTCTCTCATAAAAAATCAGCTTTTCCTTCTTTTCTACCATAGTTTTGAAAATGACTAAATAACTGGCATAAAAAAATTCATGTATGTTGAAAACTAAGGCCTGAGAGAATACATCTTTTGTGAGTAGTTTAAAAGAATTTAAATAAATTCCAACAACAGTTGCTTTTAATTAAGATTAAAACAATTTTGGCAGTCACCAACTGGGTCCACAGCTTAGTCTGACAACTGCTATACTAGCTCGAAAGCTTTTTGTGTCTAATAGAAAAACTAGTACTTAACAAAAAGCCAATGATGGTTCCAATGACAAAATGCACGTTTTTATATCATAAACATATTTCAAGTTTAGTTGCTAGGGAAACAAGAGCCAAAGCAAGCTGTCCTGTGACTGCTCACTGACGGGGCAGTCCAGTATGTCAGGTTCAGTCAGATCTCTGCAGACTCCCCCCCAGGTCTTTCCCGCACACATTCCAGCTACTACACTCGAAAGAAAGACAGATTCTTGGCTTAGCTATTCTGGGTGGAACAAAAGCATATTTTAAGTACGTTCCTTCTTCAAAAGGAGAATTTTTTTCTCCTGAAAGCAAATATACCAATAATAAGAAATCCTATTTTTAATGGACTGCATTGCATAGGACTTCAAATGTTTTAATTCTAATGTATATAACAGTAAAACTTTATGACATTGCAAACAACTAAAATGGCACAGTCCATTAAGGTAGTCACTAGCCACAGGGCGCTACTGAAATTTAACTTAATTAAAAGTACATATAATTAAATGTTGAGTTCCTCAGTCATACCAGCTCCGTGTAAATATGCCAGAGCTGAAGTGGCCAAGAGCTACCACGTCAGGCAGCTCTGGTAGTTTTTTCATCACTGCAGGGAGTTCTATTGCACAGTCCTGAACTAACAGATCGTCTGTTTAACAGATCGTGAATTTTTGGTTAACCCCAAAATGCCTAATTTTCCCTCATTACACATGTTCCACGGCAATAAAAAACGAACTAGACTTGGTATCAGTGTGAATGTGTAGGGAAAATAAAATGTTAAGTGACTTATGGATAAAAATTAGTACACCTGCATCACGTTGTATCCTCAAATTTCAGCAGGTGTGCAAGCACCTTATGATCTTGGGAACACAGGTTAATATAAAGACTGGGAAAAAAGTAGGTTTACAGTTGCTTGTATAGAAAACAATACAATTAATAATACAAGTATAAATTCCGCATTTCACATACAACTGTGAACCTACTTTTGCCTCACACTGTATGTTGTGTGGCTACTTGTGAGGAAAGATCACGAGTTTAACAGAAAAAGGAAAGCCTGGTACGTAATACATATTCTCGTTACAGGGAAGTCTGGAATGAATAGAAAGGGCAAGAGAATACATCCCCAGAGTACTCACTAAAAATGCACAAGAGGGCCCTGGCTGGCATGGCTCAGTGGACTGAGTGCCGGCCTGCGAACCAAAGGGTCGCCAGTTCGGGTCCTGGTCAGGACACACGCCTGGGTTGCAGACCAGGTCCTCAGTCAGGGATGAGCAGGAGGCAACCACACACTGATGTTTCTCTCCCTCTCTTCCTCCCTCTCTTCCCTGTCTAAAAATAAATAGAATCTAAAATAAGAAATTAAAAAAAAATACATGAAATGTTCTAAGTTTTTCTAGAAGTCTATTTGAAAATAATTATAGGAAAGCCTTTTCTAATTCCATTCATATTATAAAGGTACACAGTCACCTTCCTAATCAGTTTTAAATGAACAGGAATCACTTAGTAAAATGGGAAATTTGAGTAACATTCTTTCACTATAATGACATTAAAAGTAATTGGTGGGAATATACTGCCTGGTGTAACTGATTTAAAACATACTTTAGAATATTCATAATATATAACTCTAGGTGCATAATGTGTTTGAAAATTTATTTGATTAAATAATATCTTTGGTATTTCTAGTTGGAAAAAAAAGGACCATGTCCCTTTGGTCAGGTATATGAGTTCATTTACGATGATGTTTCTGTAAGACAATCAGGTACGACACATACTTAGGTTTATAGAACTCTGTAGAGCAGGGTAACCTATCAAAACTTCAGGGACTACTTAGAATGTGTGTTTAGGATCCAATTTCTTAAAGCAGATTGTTTGAGAACTACATACAACTCACTGGTAAGCACATTTACATAAGATACAAGAGGCAATAAGAGGCACTTGAACAGTGCGGTGGGGACCATGACTTAAGCTAGTTAGGAGCTAGAACTAAATAAATGAAACCGAATTAAGTAATTTCTCTAATGGTAATTCTGTGAAAAGAACACAAGCTTTGCAATCAGATAGGTTCAAAGGCTGTACTAATAGGAATAATATACTTATCTTGTCCTGTAGAGAGAATTAGATACAATCATGTAAACCACCAGCACAGCGCCGGGCAACTGGAAAGTGCTCCATAGATCGTTGATGATATCATTTTGCTCATCACTCGCAGATTTAGTGCAGGAGAACCCTGACACTAGTCAGCGAAATCAAAATGATTGAAACAAAATACCCTAAATACTTCTGTGTGGACAGAGTCTGAAGATACACGTGTACATGCAATAACAAGAGTCAATGGTGAGATTCCCGGACCTGAGCCGATGCTGGGGAGGCTCAGCTTCTCGCAAACCCGTCTGAGGGAGAAGAGGACCTGCAGACGCAAGGGCAGCGCCTCTCTGGAGACGCGCTGTCTCACGTAGGTCACGCAATGAGGACGTGTGGCTCTCTGCAGCCTGTGCACATTCTGTAAACTCAGGAGGCTCTGCCACGTGCAGCGCTGGTCTGTGCACTGGGGACGCAGCGGTGACCATGACACAGCCTTGCTCTTGAAGAGCCGAATGTGGTGATGACAGTGTCCCAGCAGGTGCCACAGCAGAAGACGCTGGGCACTGAGCCTGGCCCTGCTATTCAGGCTTCGTAAAGGACGTGACACCCGATCAAGTCATAATAATAAGAGGTGTCCCAGATGGTACGGCGAGGGACTCATTTTATGTAGAACTAATAGCACGGCAAGGGCCAGGAGTAATTAAATTGCATAAAAAGACTGCCAATCCTAAATAGTCTGCTATTGTTCCCACTGTGCAGTGGAGCGGGACGAATTTCAGCTGAAGGGACAGGGAGAAGCCAGGTGACGGAGGCCTGGGAGGCCAGGCAAAGAATTAATGACAATTAGACGAGAGACAGTATGTCCACGCTAAGCAGCTCCCCAGACCTCAGGCAGAGGGAACTGCGCAGAGGAGAGGAAGACTGTTGTGTTTTTCAGTTCGGATACAGACTGTAAGTATCCAGAATTGATGCCTTTTCAGTAGGTAATATTCTTGGCTTAGTGAAACCACCTGGAAAATGGCAAATCACTTTGTTCTAGTGACAATTTATTCATCATTCCATGAGACTACAGTTGATTCAAGTAATGTCACCCCAAACAACCTATCTGACCATTACAGGCACCTATGAACACCCTAGCACTTAGCCAGCAAGGTCTTAAGATTTAGAGACGTCTGGTTCGACTATCAACACCTAGAGTTTACCGGCAGGCAGAAGCTCTTGAGCATCCAAGGGAGTCAAAAAGAATCCAATCTTCCCACCTCAAGGGCCTTACCATTTAAGGAAAGAGGGGAGGCTAAATTCAGCTTAAAAAAGCGAGCATCGAGAACAAAGACAGGAAGGGAAAGACTCACGGGGTCCACAGCCGGGGGAAAGCGTCCACCTCCTCTTGTGTGTATTCGTCCAGGCGTTTGGGCACCTTTCGTGGTTGTGGCAGCTCTTCCACTAAATTCTGAAGAATATCTTCTGGTATACTCTGGATTAAATACAAATTTAGGCTTAATTTTCTTAAAACACAGTCCTTAGTACTAAATTAGTAACACTCACTAAGTATTAAAAATAATAAAAGCAGTATTTGTAAAATGAGGAAAACAATAAATTTTGAAAAAAATCCCTAAAAAGTACATTAGATCAATGATATAAGAAATGCCCTGGCTGGTGTAGCTCAGTGGATTGAGTGCGGGCCTGTGAAGCAAAGGACTGCAGTTCGATCCCCAGTCAGGGCACATGCCTGGGTTGCAGGCTGGTTCCCTGCAGGCCAGTTCCCAGCAGGGGACGCATGAAAGGCAACCACACATTGATGTTTCTCTCCCTCTCTCCTTCCCTTCCCATCTCTCTGAAAATAAATAAAGAAAATATTTTTTTAAAAAAAGAAACCTCCCTACCATAATACACTTTGTATTTTAGTCTTGACAAACATTCTATCTCATGATAAATTAGACATCTTCAATTCTGGAAACTATTAGGTCACTATGTTTTTAAAAATATATAGTTTAATTTATTCCACTCCTTCCAACCACAGAAAGGCACCGCCTGGCTCACTCTCATGATTCCTCACCCGACGAACGTCCGCACGGGGTCTGCCCCGTCTGGTGCGACAGGCTTGTGGTCCGTGCTCCGGAGAAGACACGGAGTCGGTCCGTCCCACACTGACGGTACCTGTGGTCTCCTGTTACGGTTCGTGTCTGCCTCCCAGACAGCTTTAACGTAGAAGTACCTTTTCTCTTCCAAATAGCACGTGCTCTCTGGCATGATGCTGAAGCCCTAAACGCCCTGTTCTATAAACACAATAATCTCTTACCTGATGACTGCGGGAATGCTGATAATGGTCACTCTTCTAATTCAGTGTTATTCCTACACTTTAAAAATTTTTTATTTATTTATCTTTAGAGGGGAGGGGAAGGAGAGAGGGAGAGAGTATCAATGTATGGGTGCCTCTAGTGGGCCCCCTACAGGGAACTGGCTTGCAACCCAGGCATGTGCCCTGACTGGGAATCGAACTGCAATCCTCTGGTTCACAGGCCCGCGTTCAATCCACTGAGCTACACCAGCCAGGGCTTATTCCTACATTTTTAGATGACATTCTTCTCTAGAGAAGAGCTTTTCCTTTTTCCGAGAGAAGATGACAAACTACAAGTTAAAAACAATTTTTAGACCATCATTGCGGGCTCAAAAATTTTTGCTTTTATTCAACACAGTCCATTACTATGACTGTTCATTGTAAAGCTAACACAGTCCCATATGTGGTTAGTGGGCACCATGTTCAGTTCGTTTGACATTTCCCCACTGGTGTCTGAGCTCTGCCTAATAACTTCGTTACTCACTACTTTACCATTTGCGTCAGCGTACTCTGTAATGATGTCGTCGTTTTTCTGCGTCAGACCCCGAATCAGTCATGTTCCTAAGCAGAGCCTGGCTCCTCTCACCGGGAACAGCATTTAGAAAAGAAGAGCCAGGCACTGTTGTGCTAACGTCTGTCATGCTGTCATTTTATCTTATGAATATATAAAATCTTTAAAAAGTTACGGTAAAAAAACCCTAAAAGGTATTCTCCAAAAAGCATTTCATTCTCTTCCCTGTTCCCGCCCAGCCTTTGCGCCCACACACCAGTAAGCAGCCAGCTCCATTCTCATTTATTCTTCTTGTGCTTCCTACGCACAAGGAAGCAGACACCGTGCAAGACTGGGAGCATGTGTCTGATTATATGCACGCAAAACGTGATATGCTATCTACCCTCTTTTCCACCCTGCTTTTTTTCACTTAACAATATATCCTGAAAAAAAAAACAAAACAAAACAGTACTTATCAAGTCACAGCAATATTTGTCATTCTGTTTTTATAACTGCATAATACTCAACTGAATGCCTATCATAGTGTGTCCAGTTTTCTATGAACATTTATTTCTATTATTTTATTATAATAAATAATATAAAAGCCATAATCTTGTATATTTTCTGACTACATGGCCATAAACGAGGCTGCTGGGTCAGGGAGGAATCTCCTTACGTGTATATTCTGCGAAATGTTTTTTAGCTGCCAGGTTCCTTATGGGTCGCACCATGGTGAACGTCCACAGTGATGCGTGAGGGCCTATTTCCCAAGACTCGACAATAATAAAAAGTGTTGTCAAGCTTTTGAATATTTAACAGTCCATTCTTGGGAAAGCGGGCTCATTTATTTTATGGTCTGAAATTATTTAGGTAATTTGTTGTTCAACCAAACTACACTTGAAACATCTATACTGAAACCCGACTACCTTAAAACTGGGATAAATATGGTGTGTATTTTAGAAATTATGGTTTATAAAAGATAATCAGAAAAAGAAGTTTTTTAATTCTTGTGATTTCATGAAGGCCATTTACACTTTGATGACACTGCTTCCGTACTTGGCCCCTCCAGGGAGAGCGAGCCGTGGAAATCATTTTACTTATTCATACAAAGCAAAGGTAATAAATTAACCATTCTGATAAAAGCATGAACAGTACACTTATGCTGTTCGTGCTAACAGCAGAACACACAAGTGGCTTCGATTGTGGGTATGACTTCACATTTTGGAATGAATTTCCACATTACTCCTCTAGTAGGAACTGTGAGGACAATAATCATAACCATGGCAATGACAGCAACCAGCACTTCACCGTGCCAGGCCCTGACCTAAGCGCTGAGTGTTGTCTCACTTAACCCTTACGACAGCCTTATGCAGTAGGCACTATCATTACACCCAGCTCACAGACAAGCAAACAGAGACAGTGAGTAACTAGTCCATGGCCATGAAATCAGTGAATGGGGGCGGGGGCACTAATTCTAATCCAGACAGTCTAATTCCAGAGCCTGTAGTCGACTATTCTATTACAGAACTTCTAGTGTTACAATATATGGTACTAAAGAGAAAAACTAAACACTTAAAAAAGTATAATAGTAATAAATACAAATGTTTGTACTTTTTTCCAAGTACTTTTTAGATGAATACTTTTGAGTAGGGACACTGTATCCTAAAGGTAAATCATGAGACCCAATTAGCAACCAAACCTAAGTTATTAATCCATCATTCACAGAATTTTTACTACTGGTCACATGATATAAACTAAATGCGTAATTTTTTTATAGTTGATGACATCATTAAAGAGTCCCCCAATTTAACAGGAGCTCTGATTACAGTTTCTTGTCCAAAAAAAGCAGTACATTTCATTACAATGAAAAAACAAATTAACAGACTTGTAATCTTTAGTCCAATAATAGCTCTTTATTGAAAATAAGTGTGGCAATTATTTTAAAAGGTGAGAAAGTGTTTAACTGAAAATTTAGGCAAAGCACTGTGGCCTCTGATCACCGGCTCACCTCGTCTGGGAAGAGATGTAAGCGCTGCATCATGGTCCTTCTATGTAGGTTTTTGGGCAGCATGCCGTACGTAGCTAGTTTTACAATCTGGAAAACACAGACAAGGACCCAATGAATAAAAGTACCATGGACATAAAGAAGGCAGATATAATTAGCAACAGCGATGAAAAGAAGCGGGCGAAGCCTCAGCAGGAATACGAAGGGAGAGAAACTGAGACCCGAGCAAATACGTGGCAGCAAAGGAAAAGGCACATTTGTTGTTTTATATGTTCCTATTTTCTGTTGCCTCTGTTTGTTTGTTTTAATTTAGAACGATGACAAAAAGAAGAGATTAATAACCTACATGTGTGCCAATTCTAGCTAGACTAAGAAGAAATCCTCTAAGCTTTGGCAAACGCTTATGGCTCAAATAATCTACCAGGGAGTGAACAGAGCGGAACGCAGAGAGGCCACAGTAATCTTGTGTCTTCCAAGTGGGAGACGGGTTTCCAGCTCCCACACTAGGCCTGATCCTACGGTCACGGGACCGACTCATGGGACCGACTCGATAGGCCACACATCTGCAGTGATGGTGACGGCTCACATTCACTGACAACTCGCCGTGCGTATGGCGCTCAGTGCATTCATCACATTTGCTGCCTTGTTTACCACTGAGTCTCACTTTCGCAGCTGAAAAAAAACAGATTTAGTGAGATGACAGAACTCCCCCAATTTCACAGTAAGTGTTCACTCGAATCCAAACCAGGCAGTGCCCCCCCGAATAGACACACAGTCCACGCCATCACACTCACCATGTGTTTCCCTTCCTAACTTCTCAGGAAGACAGGAAGTCCCTTCTCTCTACCGAACCATCACTGTAATGGCCTGTACTATATACACATATGCGCTGAGCCCCTCATAAAACTGTTGAAGAGACATGTGGAGTGTCACAGAGATTTTTATCATCTGGACTCACACTGCAAAAATACAACTTCACATGTATTAAAGCTAAATGCCCGAAGACAACACGTGTCAGAACAGGGTTTCACTGTAAAAGAATTTCTCGTTTCTTTTATTTTCTCATCAAAACCTTTCTGCACATGCGAGTTAATGACATCTCATGTATCCTTTCCATCTATTTTCTAGGTTAATGCTGCCAGAACTTTATGTTCTGAAGACTTACTTAAGGACAGAGTTATGTTGTTAAAATTAAAAGCCACAGAAAACCCAGCTCCTCAGTCACATGGCCGCTTTTCATGTGGTCAGGAGCCTGGTGGGCACCACAGCTGACGGTGCAGACAGGGACATTTCCACCACGGGAGAGACTTCTAGCAGCACTGACCTCGAAATCAGTCTTTACAACTTTTAACGTTTTAAAAAGACTTCAGTAGACACTGACAATGTTAGGACTACTCCACATCTTTTCTGGGTAAGGAAGTCAGTATAGCCTCTGAAAATCACCCTCTTAGCAATTTTATTCTGTTAGTAAGGTTACATGGCATTTGGTTTACATGTTCTTAAACAATTTAGTTGTACTTACTTGAATTAACAAGTTGGCATTTAAAAAATCTGCCCTATTAAGAAATGCAAAGTTGCCCTTGCTGGTGTAGCTCAGTGGATTGAGTGCAGGCCTGCGAACCAGACAATCGTGGTTCAATTCCCAGTCAGGGCACATGCCTGGGTTGCACGCTGGTTCCCTGCAGGCCAGTTCCCAGCAGGGGACACACGAAAGGCAACCATACATTGATGTTTCTCTCCCTCTCTCTTTCCCTTCCCCTCTAAAGATAAATAATCTTAAAAAAAAATAAAAATAAATCCTAAAAAAAAAAAAAAAAAGAAAAAAAGAAATGCAAACTTAACAGTCAAATTAGAAAAAGCTACAAAATGTGGCAAGCCCCCAAGCTGACAGGGGAGAGAAAAGACAGACACACAGACACAGATACCCGACACCGACAGAACACAATGTGCACATACAACCAGCTCCCTCCAGCCGCACAGACTGAGGCACGAGCCCCGAGGAAGTCCAAACGCGAGACAGAGAACACAAGCTGAGGTTGGCAAATATTAAAGGTCTCCCTCAGATGTTTGGTAACCCAGGCCATGTGCTACTTAATTCACACAAAATCACTTTATTAAGTAACTATAAGAGGGGGAGAAGCATAAGAAGGGAACCATGTTAGAAGAAAAATGTAAGGACACAAAAGCTCTTAAAGAAAATAAGCTACATGACAAAGGGATAAAGGATAGAAGGAAAGGGCTGACTTAATATATTTATTTGAGTTTAGAGTTCATCTATGTAATTTAAAATATTTTGAAATATTTAATAACCTCTTAATCACCATTAAATTTATTAATTATGCATCTTACAAATAATATTCCAAGACTGTACTAATAATCAGAAGAATGCAAATGCATCATGAAACAGATTCTCTTACGAGCCACACACACGAAGTCCCGACTCGCAAACCGCCTGCTGGCAGGACTCGCGGCCCCAGACGAACGGGAGTGGAGCCAGGTAACTGACCTCCCCTTACCACATCACCCTTCTCCAAAACACAGTCAAAATTAAGACTTTTTTATAAAGTATGATCTTTTAATGATGTAATAATTCAAATGGTTTTGACTCTGAAATGTTTTGCAAACCTCCATCAAATGTTTCATTCTTTGTTTACAAAAAAATTTTGAAACAATTACTACAACATTACCCAAGGCCAAATTCTTAACATCAAAAAGTTGGACTATACTGCCTCCTAGTGTACAGTGAGCATGCATGAATAAAATATTGGCTTGAATTCTAAAAACATCTTAATATCAAAAATTTAATTTATTGTAACAGTTATGGTATACATTATCAGCAGCCCTTACAATACTATTAAATGCAATCCATATTAACAGTCAAAACAGGACACTGTATTTGATCTGTAATAATCTAACAACACCTGAGTTATAAAACAGACATTATTTCTTAAGAAAAATCTCTGGGGAATGTTATTGTAGAATAGATTTGAATGATAAAGAGGGTCAGTGCACACCCTGATCAATTATTTAGGAAGGTTATAATTAAAAACTTAAATTTATCTAATGCTAAATCTTCAAAACGATGCAAAGACAAACTGAAAACTACGAGAAAAAAGTGAACAAACCCACAATTGAAATATTAATATAGCTCTTTCGGGTAATCAATAAAGCAGATGAATGAAAAAAGTCAGCAAGAGTGTAAGACTGGGGCCCTCACTGGTGTGGCTCAGCAGGTTCACCAGTTCAACTTCTGGTCAGGGCACACGCCTCGGTTGTGGTCCAGATCCCTGGTGGGGGGGCGTGCAAGAGGCAGCCACACACTGATGTTTCTCTTTCTCCCTCCCTTCCCCTCTCTAAAATAAATAAATAATCCTTTTTCTTAAAAAAAAAAGCATCAAAATTCCTTCACTAAATGCAAAACATACTAAAGAGTAATTTAAAAATATGCAGACCTGAATGATAATGAAGTAATAGTTATCAAAGTGGGTAGTACAGGCAAAGCGAAGAAGGCTAGCTACATTAGAAGAGGAAAATAACTGAAACAGCAGTGTCTGAGCCGCCTTCCCACCGATGAAAATAATAACAACACAACAGACTCACAGCCACTGGATCCTGCTGGTGAAGCTGGGCAGCTGTTACCTGTTTAAATCCACCTGGGTACCTATTTGAAGAAGCAAAGACATTAAAGCTGGGAGTCAGCTATGGTACAGTATTACTCAGTATTCTTTTATAATATAAAAACTATTTTTATTATAAAATCATACTTGTTTCCGGGAACTATGCTATTTGTTATTGTCTTAAAAAATAAGTAGTAGCCTATGTTCTTTGAGATGTTAGTTTCTAAGTGGTCACTGTCATTTCATAAAAAGCCCCACATCTTGGAAACTTTCTTGGCTTAACTATTTATGTTTCTATTGGAAATTAAAGTTATTCATCATTCATTCATTTACTCATTCATTCTCATTAATTCTGGGGTAGTTTATTGCTGCTTGAATTAAGAAAGAAAAAGCAATGATCAAAACGTTTCATATTTCCTGCCAAATTAGACAAAGTATCCATATAAATAAGTCGCCAGGTCTGGGGAAATTAGTTGTGGACAATCTGGTTCGGAAGTTAAGTTCAAACTCTAAGCAGGTCACAATCCTGTTTCCTATTAAGAGTTATATGTTGACCCTAAGTAATAAAATATTTAATTGTGTTCAGATCAAAATTATATGTAAAATGAATAAATTGGGGATTAATAAATATGTTTATTTGGGATACTTTTGCAGGCAGCTCAGTAACTTGGATGCCCCAGATGAAGGTCTGGAATCTAGATTTGCTGGTAGCTACCAGTATAACATTAGGCAGTTCAAATGACCTCTTTACATGAATTTATTCATATAAGAGAAATGGTAATGTCTACTCCATCTACCTCCCGATTTTTATGAGTCAACTGAGAAAATGTGAAAGTGCTTAGGAAATTTAAAACAAAAACAATATTCAGATGTAAGGCTTTATTACACTGAATAAATGAATAAAGCCTAAATGACTTTCAAGTAAGGAAAAAAGAAAACATAAAATCAGCGAAACTCTGCGAGAAAAAATTTAAGATTACCTAAATGTGTTTCCTTTCATAAATTCCTTTTCAGCAAGAATTTAAAACATTTTAAGATAATTTAAAGAACCACCTCTTAGGAATAAAATTTAAGAAAGCACATTTAAAAGTTTGCTGAGAAAGATAATTCTCAAACTGGAATTCTTTCATTTGTTTTATGGAATTTCAGCTTCAGAAAAAAAAATACACGTCTAGACGTCTGTCCCTGTGTTGTCTCCATGGAAAGAAACACTTTACACTTTCTACACTGAGGATGATCTATTTTTAACAGTGGATGGCAAATTCTAAAGCACAATACCATTTACACTATATTTCAGGAGTTGGACTTTATACTAAAAATTTGGAGAGCTACTGTAAAATTCTGAGTAAGGGAACAATTGGCGTAATGCAATACTCGGCTGACTTATTTTCCAGTTCTTCATAAAAGTCAAAATTTTATTTTAAAAAATAGAGCAGTGATTAGGTAGGGTAAATCCTATTGTGCACTACCATATACTGTGACTGAAAATAATACTTAAAAAGGGAAATCTTAAGTAAAAAAGAGATAAACTTATATATGTATTGTTGACTCCAAGGATGAAAGATGATTTTTAGCTCCTTTAAACTTCTCTGTACTTTCTAATACTAGCATGCACTAAAACTTTTATCACTAGAAAGTTAGATTTTAAATCTGTAATTGCAGTGATGTGTCAGGAGCTCAATAACAGCAGTATGTCCAACGTGGAAGTCAGGAGTCAAGAGAAATGCAGGAACAAGAAGCAATGGACCCTGCGGGGGAGGAGGAAATAGGGACGGCGTCACAGGAGAGGTGACATCTGAGACGGGGTTTATGGCTGAATAGAGGAAATTTTGAGAAACATTTTCAGGGAGGGCAACACATGCAAGGCTGAGGCAAGACACAGCAATATGCTGTTGGTTAAATGTTGGGTAAAATGAAGGACGATGAAGCAGGAGTGGTAGCTGGATGCCAATAAAGTGAATGGAAGATGCTGGATTCTCCCCCCACAGGTGAGAGAGTGCAGCACTGAGAGGGGTACCTCCCGAGGGACACGTGACCCTGGCCGCTCTCCACTGGCTGTGCTGCTGTTTCCCTTCATTTGCACTAATACTACAGATGTGTTTGCGATAGGAGTCAGCCTAGTATTTCCCTGCACACGTTTATCCCAGCATGGCATGACATGCTGACTTTTCATGTTCCCCAATTGCCTCTGCATTTTATAGAACCTGGTTTATATGTAGAGATTTGCCAATAGCAGAAATTACTAATGATAGGTGTGAACTTATTTTTCTTAAGTTAAATAAAGATTTCATGAGCCCTGGCTGGTGTAGCTCAGTGGATTGAGCACGGGCCTGCGAACCAAAAAAAGATCGGGGTTCGATTCCCAGTCAGGGCACATGCCTGGGTTGCAGGTCAGCTCCCAGCAGGAGCCAGTTCCCAGCAGGGGATGCACAAGAGGCAACTGTACATTGATATTTCTCTCCCTCTCTCCTTCCCTTCCCTTCTAAAGATAAATAAATAAAATTCAAAAAAGTATTAAAAAAAGAAGAAAAAAATTACATGAATGTGTTTAAATAGAGGAATGGGCAAATGTTCATTTAAAAAAGCAAAAAAAGTTATTCCAAGCATTTAAGACCCGAGGGGCAAGAGATGAAGAGCAGCAGATGTGACCATCAAGGTCTACCTGTCCGAGACAGCGGTGCAACTGGGAAAAGAAGGATCATTTAGATCAAGAAGGAAAGGTCAGCATTTCTGATCATATTTTGCTCAACAGTGTAGGAAGTATGCTTAATTAAAATTTGTACACATCCTGAAGATAAGCGGTTAACTAACACACTATGTGACAGAATCAAGATCATAAAAGATCTTCAAAGGCTAGAGAGACAACTGAACGTGGAGTCCTGCGTTGGATGAAGCACAACTAAAACACCCAGGAGGAGGAGACATGGCAGCATGTTTGAGAAAGACAGGACATTCAGCTGGTAGTGAACTTAGTGGGTCACACAGTCATAGGACCTTGGAGAAAAGTTCTATCACAACAGAAGACTGAGTACCCGAAAGATGGAGAAGCCACATTATATATGGAAACCATCAGAATACAACCAGGCGGGTGTGTTTAGTTAAGAAGGACCCTGAAGGATAACAACTTACATAAACATTAAAATGTTGAGTCAGAGGATGAAGGGTGATTTTCAGTTCCTTCTTTAAACATCTCCGCATTTTCTAATACTAGCATGCACTAAAACTTTTGTAATTAGAAAGATAAATGCTGCCTATATAACTGCAATAAAATATTAGGAGCACAGTAAAAGTAGTATGTCTCAAGTACAAGTCAGGAGTCAACAGAAACAGAGGAACAAAAACCAGGGACAGTACTAGAAAAGACTGACCAAAACATATGGAGGCTGTTCGAACCAAAGCCTATAGAGGAAGGAACCAGAGATGGTGAGAGCCCGGGAAGAGACAAACCAGTGGGCACTGGCTGATCGAGGTCTTGAAATTAGTTGAAGAATGTTATGTGGAGGAGATATAATTATTTTCCACTGTCCCAAAGAGAAGACCAGCATGAAAGTTAGAGAGAAACAGATTCAATAGCATAGAAGACGCCCCTAAAATGTAGGCCATTGCAAAGGTGGAATGAATGGGCTACCTAACGAACTATGAGATTGGTTTTATTTAAACATAGGCAGAAAGACCTATAACTTGAAAGGTATGTTGTGGAGCTTTTAGGTGTCTTCTAAACTTAACCACTAAAACATCTCAAGTACAGGGTCCGGCAGGAGGAAGGCCTGCCCGAGTGTGGTTGGCAGGGTGTGTGAATGTCTTACAGCGGTGGACCGCAATTTAAACATTTCACCTAAAATGTCACATGATGTGCTTGGTGTGATATCGTTACGTTACAGTATTACATGCTTATGATTTGTAATAAAAGATTTTTTGACAAAAAAGGGGCACAGCTCAGTGGATTGCACATCGGCCTGCGAACCAAAGGGTCGCTGGTTCAATTCCCAGTCAGGGCACATGCCTGGGTTGCAGGCCAGGTCCCCAGTGGGGGTGCTCAAAAGGCAACCACATATTGATGTTTCTCTCCCTCTCCCGGCCCCTTCCCCTCTAAAAGTAAAATAAATAAAATCTTGAACAAAGAGGCATTCTTTTGCTGGACCCTGTCCTTTCAGATGTTCAGAATGGTTCTGGGCATAGGAGATGCATAACAGGAAGCAGAAAGAAGGAGAAGATTTACTAAAAATGGGAATAATCTTGATCAGAGAGGTTTATGTGAAGTTTCCAGAAAAACATATACTGTCAGATAATAATTAAGGATTTGATTCAGGCTTGCTTTTTTTTTTTTTGATTGAGTTAATTATATATGTAGCATGCATAAAATGAGTATTTTCTTAAATGCCAAAGTTGGAAAATACATTTTTCTTTTAAATCAGGTCAGTGGTGTGATTAAAGCAATGCATTTCAACGGCCTGTTTTCCGTGGCGACAGCACTGTCTTACCCAGTGTGTGAAGAGTATACTTTTTGTTCCCATTTGTTTCCAGAAAACGCAATGTGCCTTGTGTTAATTATAACAACGTGATCCCCGCAGTCACCTGGATTTAAAAAGAAAAGAGAAAGAAAAAAAAGATTTTTATATGAAAAATCGTGACTTTAAGAAAAAGCATCCTTGGTTTTGTAAAGCTTATCAAAGTCTAAGCAACACATTAAAAATACAAAGCAAGTCACAGAAGCAACGTCAAAAATCCTTGAACAGATTTCTGTTACTGCTTTGTACAACATCTAAGTATAGAAAGAGCTGGCGAGCCATCTGGAAAATCTCAACGCTGTAAGGTGGAAGAGAATCTGGTAGAGAGGCCAATACCAACAATGCATCTTTAAAGGCAAACTACTATTATTTCTATCATATCTTCCTATTAGTAATTATACTTCACTAAAAATGTTTACATTAAATACTTTTAAAATATCTAATATAAATTTTCCTCTAAAAACATAAGAGAAAATGAAAACAATATGCACATAGTCATAAAAAAGTATGTTTTGCCAACAGGTAAATTGAAAACAAATGTAAAACGTCACAATTTATTATTCTTTTCCAATTTAGAGAACAATGGAATACTATGCTCTTGTGCTTGACTACCGACCCAAGGTTTTTCCAACCATATTTAAGTAGGTAAATTGGAGCCGCCACTGTCAACTATGACTAGATACACATCAGACAGGACGGGATGGCCCCAAAATTAAATACACACACACACACACACACACACACACACACACATATACATATATTTGCTTAATTTTCCAGTAAAAAGTACCCCTAAGTTTGGACGTTCATTTAAAAAAAAACCTCCACAAAAGTAAACATGTAATTTTCACATGAGTTACTAAAGATGACAAAATCAAGTAATCAGAAACATTTATTAAGTGCCTATTCTATCTACAGAAAAGTAAACTTCAAAAGATTCTAGAAGTTTATTTAAGAAGAACACCACTGAAAAAATAAAAAGTATAAATAAACACAGGATATGAAAACAAAAGGATATGGTACATTGTGATTCTACACAGGGTTGGAATTTGAATGACAGAATTTACTAAGAAAAGTTTATAGTCTATACAGGACAAGGGTCATGAACAGAGCATAAAGCAGGTGGGTTTTCTCCACTAGAGTGAGAGGAAGTCCAGAGGTGTGAAGAAATAACCTGGGAAGCTTGCTGGTAGTGCACTGGAAAAAACAGTTTGACAGCATTTGGTGAAGTGACGAAAGTTCCTGAAAGCGACATGTGGTCGACTAAGGCAGTTGGGGGCAAATAAACCGGGATAACAAATACAGACGGGGACAAGACACCTATGTAGTTTCTATACAATAACAAAGAAACTGAAAGACCTTAGGTTTGTCCAGCCCTTACTGCCAAAGAAGCTAAGGCCCATTAAGATTAAGCAATTTCACAAAAGCTCACACACCAAGTTACTTAGACCCTGTGCAGGCTCTTTCCATGACACCTGTTTAGAGGGAAATGGAATCTTTCACTTTCCATTGAAGCTGAATTTATTTGCCAAATTAGAGTGCAAAATTAAATAATGCAATATCTAACATTTGAAACTGACACTTAAAAATATGCAAACTGGGTAATTTTAAGAAGAGCACTATCAATGTTCTTTTCGAACAAGTCCTTAAAAGATTTAAGTGAACAATATAAGACAGAAAACTAGTGATCAAATTAGATCTAATATTATCTTTGTTGCATTACTTGGTATGCCAGTATTAAAAACATTAACTTTTAAGAACTGTATGCAACTTTTATTTCATTCCATGCAGACCACAAATATTTTAAGATAATCTAATAACTTTAGATAATGCAAAAAAAAAAAAAAAAAACGGTTTCCCTCTGCGTCTTTTAAATGCTCACTCAGCCCTCAACTAACGCATCCATGGGCAGTGAAGAGCCGTGGCCTCACGAATAACACATCAAAATCCAACAACCACCACGTGCCCTTTCTTTTCACTTATTGGTGGGAACGAGGTATGTTCAGAAAGCTTCCCCGCTCCAGAGCCAGGAGGAGAGATCTAATCAGGAGGAGGGAATTCTCTCCCCAGGTGCACGTAATTTCCACATGACTCACCATATTTTTCTTAAACAAAAGAAACAAAAACCTTGTAAATGGAGAGTTGGTTTTCCGCAACTCTTCACAAAGTCCATGGGACCTATAAAGTACTTCAAATAGCTTATGTTCAGATACATTTATAAGTTAACTTTTATAACCACTCCTAGATATATGACCATCCAATACTATTTTTCTGGGAAATTGAATGTCAAGTTTCAAATAAACATGTTTATAGTAATTGTGAGCACATAACACATGTTTAATAAATACAGGTTAAACCAGCAATTGTTAGAAATAAACTAAACGCATAACATATTTGTAAACTGAAAATCGCTTGCTGTAAGTTTTGATTTTGGTGACATCTTGTGGACAGGACAAGTTTTGCTGACATAAGTTATATATAAATTTAGTGCGGAACAAAAATCCAATCTAGACCTCAAAATGTAACCTTCTAATTTCATAGAAAGGCTATTCTCCACTCCTCGAAAAGGATGACCTGGTGGGCAGAACAACAGCTCTCCCGGTGCCCCGGCAGACGTCATCCTCCAGGACTTGGAGGATACTCTAGCAATAGCGGCCTGCTCGTAAAAAAGTAGAACTTTAATTTAGTGGACAGCTAGGTGCCATTCCTTACGAAGGAAATTAGGTGACTACTACTAATTCCACTTTTTCCTCAACTTTTGCATCATTTGCATTTCCATGAAGACAACCTAAGAGGTCTTGTTTATCTCCTTGTGGCTGTAACTGCTAAGGAGAAAGGGAATTAGAAGGAAAACACAGTGTGTGTGGCTGGGAATCAGCACAGCAAAGTGGAATTCATGGTTTCCTACGTGAAGAAACAGGTGCCTGGGTGTGGTCCCAGTTCTACCGTCCCAGCTGAGTGCCAGTGAGAAATTCACTCTTCTCTTCTGATTTTAGTTTTCTCATTTATCAATGAGGTGGTTCAATAAACTACGTAAAGTCCTAAGGAATTTAAAAAATCCTATGAACTGGTATTCTATCACTATAGCATTTTCCTGATCTGCCAGAGAGAGATATTTTAAAGGACTTTATAATTTGTTAAGCGTAAGTCCACTGATCACTGTTTTACTTTTCAATGTACAGTTGAGCCTCATTACTCACAGATTCCACATTGCGAACCAGCCTCCTCCCTAAACTGTTTGCAATCCCCGCAGCAACACTCACAGTGCTTCCCTTGTTGCTCAGGACGTGCACAGAGTGGCAAACACCGAGGAGCTTAATGCAGATGCTTCCTGCAGAGGTTGAACCAAGTGATCTCTGCTTGCTCCTTTTAGCTCTTGGACTATGAACAAGTGCTGCTTCGCGGTCTATTTAATGCCAGGCTTCTTGGCATTTTTGTGCTTTTAATTAGTGACCTCACTGTTTAAGACACCTCGCCAGCTGGAGGCTGAAGTGCTGTCTAGTGTTCCGATGTGCACTTGGCTGTGATGTGCCTCACAGAGAAAACACGAGCATTAGATCAGCTGAGTTCAAGTGTGAGCTATAGTGCCATTGGCCATGAGTTCAATGTTAGAGAATTAGCAATGTATTCATTAAATAAGGTGTCTTTGAATGGAAACACGTAAAATACGGCTATGTATTGACTAGTGGATAACGATTCTGTGACGAGAGGCTCAGAAGATCCGAACTCTGTAGTTCCGTTAGACAGCATGGTTTGGTGTTCAGGAACTCAGCATTCATGGTGATTTTAAAGAATGTAACTGCTATAAATAATGAGAACTGACCGTGTTTATAAACCATAGTTAAAAGAGTCATTCCAGGAAATATTTTTGATAAGCATCTATTATGGGCCAGGCATTATACTAAGTGCTTAAAAAACAAATATTAATATGACAAAATCCTCACAATCATATTTTTACAGGGTGTAGCTTATTTTGATACCTAATGGAAAATTTCATTATGTGAAGAGAAAAGGTTAGACCAGCAAGTAGAAATATAAAAAATTCCTTGCTCTTACCCAAATCATATTATCTGAAATACTCTGTCCCCTCGCTCCATAAATCCAAAAATCCAATTAACTCAAATGTCATGGTCCTGATTAAAAGTAATGTCTTCATTTTCAAAAATGGTATTTGTGAATACATGATCTACTCAACAAACATTTACTGAACTCCAACTATGTGGCAAGCCCTATATCATGCACAAGTGTAAAGCTGTGAAAAAATCCAATTTTTTTCAAGCCAAAATTTTTCTGAGTAGAAATTTGGTTGAATCTGGAATACAGGGAAAGGGTCAAAACTAGAGACATAAACTTGGGAGCCATTAGCATATAGATTATACAGAGTGGGGCAAAGTAGGTGTACAGTTGTTTGTATGGAAAATAGTGCAATAATTAATAAATAATAACACAAGAGTAAACTCTGTGTTTTGCGTACTCACAACTGTATGCTTACCTTTGCCCCCCCTGTATTTAGAGACCCGAGACTGAGTGCAATCACGCGCAGAACGTGAAGGGGTCTGAGGGCTGGGCTCCGGGACCTCGCCAGTCTTTGTGGGGAAAAAACCAGTGGGAGTTTAGAAAGTTGAAGAATCAAAAGGGAACTGTGAAAACAGAATTAGCAAGAGCGTAAAAACAGTCAACAGAGAGTTTTTCACATCTACTAGAGTAGTGAAAACTAAAAAGATCGGAAATACCATGTTACTGAAGATGAGGAGTAACAGAAAGAAACCCTTACATGCCGTTGGCAGGAGAGGACATTGGCAGAAAGACTAGCTAGCTTCCCAGGGCGCTTTGAACCTGGAAATTCCTGTCTTATTCAGACATCAGAGAAACGTCACGTGAGTACCAGGAAAAAGCTATAAAAATACTAATAGCAATGTTTTTGTAATGACAAAAAACCCCGAAACAACCCGCATGCTGAGTGTATGGGTATTGAGTTCATTATCATCATTATTATTGTTAATTTTCTTTAAAACAACACCTACATTTATATACGGAGATAGATACATTTCTATCTTTCTATCTCTTTGTATATTTCACATTACAAAATACTAATAAAAAGTTAAAACTAGCCCTGGCTGGTGTAGCTCAGTGGATTGAGCTCGGGCCTGCTGAACCAGAGGATCACAGGTTGATTCCCAGTCAGGGCACATGCCTGGATTGTAGACCAGTTCCCAGCAGGGGGCGTGTGAGAGGCAACCATACACTGATATTTCTCTCCCTCTCCTTCCCTTCCCTTCTAAAGATAAAATAAATAAAATCTTAAACAGTCAAAACCGTGATCAACTGCAGTAGATGCTGACAGGCCTCGGTTCAGTGGAGCCCATCAAAACCACCTCGAAGCATAAGTCTCTTAGTAGGAAAACAACTTTCCTTGTTTTGTTTTGGGAAAAGAATACAGAAAAGCAAATCTATTAATTCAAAACGGCAAAGAGTAAACTCACCAGGCCTCGCTAATTCTATGTATCTTCCTGGAGGGAAAGGTTTTTAGAAGAGAGGGCAGGCTTATTCAGTCATTTTCAAAACCTGTCTATTCAAATGTACACTGCCATGTGAAGAAACATATATAGGAGCGAACATTTAATTTAGAGTCCAAATCAGGATATTTTGGAGTGTGAAAGAAAGGGGTACCGACAGTTCTGTGGGGGCAGTGGTGTAAAATAGGGTTGTCCCAGGTAAACCAGTCTGTATGTTTCAATTTAGTCCTAGTAGGTTTTATAGCAAGAACAAAATAAAGAATCATCAGAAAAAAAAGAAGTCCTTAAAAGCAGTCTCGTCAAACTACTTTAAAATATTCTCCTCTGGCATGTAAACTGCAGGATTATGACAGGTTCAACATGATACTCACTCAGCTGATGATACATCGGTTTATGCAGCCCCTGAAGTTTAACAGAGGCCAGGGCAGCGAGTTTGCCGGGGGGTTGCATTTTCCCATCTAGGAGATACCAGACTCGAGCAAATGTGGCCCATTGCTGGAAAAAACAGAAGAGGAAATAAATAGAATTCTAATTAGAAGAGATATAATAATAATTATTATTATGTATCAGCACACGTATTCTACAGTTAATGTCAATAATTGACATTTAAAAAAAGATCCTGTCACTAAAGAATTTTTTGTTTAGTTTTTATTTCTATTTCTGGAAAAAGGGGCCATCTTTTCTCATTGTTTTGCAAAGATTAACAGGATAATTTTTCCTGCTTTCTCTTCTCTTATTAATATGCATCATTCTTTGTTAGAAAGATTCCGAAGATTTATTTCCCTTTACGTTATGACTTACAGTTTTTGTATCATACAGCATAGAACTTGAAGGGTAATAAGAAGCATATATGAAACAGAAACTGTTTACGAAGGTCTTCAAAAATATTGAGATTAATGGATACACTACATTGTGTATGGAATGGAAAGATGAGTGGCCGATTAGAAACTGAAGACTTCAGAAGTTTAATTCAAAGGGAAGTTAAATAGCAGAGTGTAGCTGGGAAAGTATAGAAGGATGATGTTGAATAAACCTAAATTTTTAAAAAACTGTATTAGACATCTTTAGACGGTCTTAGGCATAGGCCACTGTCCTTTCAGTGCCCATCAGTGCCTTTTAGCTCTAAGACACAGCCCAGGAAGGTCTTGACCAGATGCTTCCTCTAGGTACGTACACAAGCAGCTAAACAACGCTGGAAAAAATACAACTAGGCTCGCTGGTTTTATTTAAATTTAATGACCACAAACCTCAAATCAGTCTATAAAACTGCTTAATGGTTCTGGTTTTTTTTCCTATTCTCATTTTTCTAGTCTCTATCTAATTCCCCTTGCATACATTTTGTTAGATTTATCCCTATTTAATATATTTTGATGTCATGGTAAATGATATTTCTAGTTGAAATGTCTGATTGCTTTGTTGCTAGTATGTAGAAATACACTTCACTTTTGTATATTGGTCTTGTGCCTAGTAAACTTGCTAAAGATATTTGTTGGTTCTGGTAGATTCCATACCTTTTTGTAGGTTTTTTTTTTTTTTTTAAATACATAGATGATCATGCCTTTTGCAACTAAATAGAGCTTCTGGCCCACATCCTTTCCCTACCACTCTTGGCCTATGAACTAATAAAATAATTCAAACAACGCAACTCTACAGGACAAATATGTGTCTTCAATAAACTGCAAGGTGAAAAAAGATAGGAACAGGAACCTATTTATTAAGAGAGGCTTACAAAAACAGCAACTTAATGCATTTTGGATTCTAATACAAAGGAATAAACTATAAAAATATTATGTATTTGTATAATATATAGATATGACAAAAAAGGAAGTTTGTACATATACTTGATGACATTAAGAAATTAGTTAATTTTTCATTCAGCTTTGATAAATGATAGTGATTTTTTCATTAAATCCTTACAGAGAAGATATTGAAATACTTACTGATGAACTAGTAAGTCTAAACTTCACCTCAAATTCATACGAAAGGGAAGGAAGTAAATGGGGGGTACAGATGAAAGGATATTGGCTATGGGTTTTCTGATAGTGCGTGATAGCTACTTTATATACAAGTGAAATTCTCCATAATAAAATAAGGAAAAGCAGCTTGCAAGCTCACTTCTCCACCAGCTACTGCCTCCTCTCCTCTTCTCCGTCTTTACTCCAGTTTGTCTCCCCACTTCTTTTCAACCTACCACATCCTGGCTTTTGTCCTCCCACACCTATCACCATCACCCCACCTCCTGCCAAAGTCACCTTCATGCTACTAAATCCACAGGTCAATTCTAAGTCCTCCATACAGTTGGTCATTTCCCTCTGCTGGGTATTTTCTTTCTCTACTTGATTTCCAGGACACCACCTGTGTTGTCCCCCCCCCCACTTTGCTGGTTCTCCCATAATCTCTCACCCCTGAAACGTTGAAATGTCCTAAAGCTTAGTTAGCTACAGGTCCTCCTGTCTTCTTTATATTCCCTTCCTCAAGGACTTCATTCCGACCCATATCTTTAAAGATTTTATTTATTTATTTTTAGAGAGAGGGGAAGGGAGGGAGAAAGAGAGGGAGAGAAACATCGAAGTGCGATTCCCACGCCCACCTACTGGGACCTGGCGGAACCCAAGCAGGTGCCCTGACCAAGAATCCAACGGGTGACAACCTTTGGTTTGCAGGCTGGCACTCAATCCACTGAGTCACGCCAGCCAGGGCCAACCCATATCTTTGAATGCCATATATATACTGATGACTCACAAATTTGCATCTTTAGCCTGGACCTCTTTCCTGAACTCTACACTTGAATCCATAATGCCCACTTCACATCTGCACTTCAGTACAATTTTTAAGCCATATGTAGCTAAAGACTAGTTAATCCCCCAAACCATGAAATACCAATACTTCTATAGAAAAAAAGAGAAACCTTTGATAAAAAATTAAAATGCTGCCACAATGCCAAACTATTATACAAGTGTTAAAATGTTTAATTTTAATTCCTGTATTTGCCTAATCAGGGACAGGTAAAAAAACAACAACAAACGGTTACCTGTCCCAGGGAGGAATCGCACTTGGAGTGGGACTGGGCTTAAAGACATCTTAAACTGAAATACAAAATGAACTGCTCCACCAACTGAATCCTTCCTCAGTCTCAGTTGAAGGCACACCCTTCCAGTTGTTTAATCGAAATCTTTGGGGTAATCCTTTTTTCTTCTTTTGCTCTCCTCCGCTATGCAATCCTTCAGGAAATCCTTTAGGCTCCACCTTCAAATAGAACCAGACTATTTTTTCAACACTACACTGTTACTACCCTGGTTTGTGCCGCTATCTTAGCTATCCTGGGTTACTGCACTGATCTCCAAAAAGGTTCTTTACTTCTCTCCTCCACTAATCCCCACCTCTACACAGTCTATTTTTCAACTCAGCTGCCAGAGTGCTCCCTTAACACCTGAGATCATGTTACTCCTTGGCTCAAAAGCCTCCAGCAGGTCCTCATTTCACTCCGTAAAAATCAAATTCTTCCAATGACCTTCAATGCCCTATGTGATCCATCTTATTACCTCTTCGACCTTCTCTCCTAAAACTCTTCCCGGGAACAAAAGACAGGAAACGGGCTGAGAGAGCAGGAGGGAACGAGTACAAAGATAACAAGAACAACTGGTGACCGGGATCACAACCTTCTTTTCTCTGCTTCCCCGAGGTACATCCTGACCGAGGGATTCGGCTTCCCTACCCATTCAGACACACTGTGCCTGCTGGAGCCACTGACCTTCTGTCAGTGTAATGAATCCCATCAAGCAACAGAGTCCGAACTCACCTGGTGCGCCCTAGAGAAACTCGACATGCTCTCCCACCATCAGAACAGCCGCGATCCTTTCCGCAGCGTTACCGGCCGGCGGGAAACGCACATACCCAAGCCTGACAGTTCCTAGATGGGCCAATACTTGCGTGTTCTCCGCTTTTCCTGGGTCCCCTCCAAACTTCCCACGTGCGCGATTTCATCCAAAAGGAGGAAATACTGCAGTTACCGCGAGAACAACTTCCGAAATTCACCTGGTGGTAGAAAAGCTGCAGAAAACCGACAGAGTACACACCGTTTCCAGCCGGCCTTAGTACGAGGGAGCCGGAAGTGCGTCAGCCTCGCGCGGCTGTTTTGATGTGGAATCCAAGCTTTGAAACTGGGGCTCAGCTCGGAGGGGATGGATCGGTACCTGCTCCTTGTCATCTGGGGGGAAGGAAAAGTCCCCCAGTCGGCGGCGAGTGGGGAGGTGGAGCGCCGTTCTGGGTCGCCTACAGCTCCGGGTATCGGGAAGCAGGCAGGTAAGTCCTGGGCTGAGAAAGAGCGGGAACGGCTTGAACAGGGGAGAAATTTCAGTTTGTGATCTAGTTCTGCTGGGGCGGAAAGTACTTAACGGAGTTGCCCAGGAAGCTGTGACTGTATCTGGGATCGAACTAATAAAGGCTTAAATGGTTCATTATCTTAGTGGAAAATAGGGACAAATTGGTGGATGCAGGACTCCAGCGCCTAGAAGTTCTTGACAACAGTAAAAAATTTAATTGGACAAATTCTCTGTGCCGTAAGTAATGGAATTTCTGCTTTTTGGGAATATATGCATTCTATAGGTATTTCCGCCTCCTGTGTTGCAATGCAAGTGCTGTAGAAAGGGGCAAGATGGAAGAGTCCTAGTCTTCTAGAATTTACAACCTAATGAATGGGAGGAGACATCGTACACATAAATTTTTTTAAAAGTGATAAATTTAAAACATTCTTAACTGTTTGAAATGGCACTGCTTTTCAGAGCTTCTGTCTAGACTCCGAATTGCATTTTCATTTATTTGTGTGTTTTGATCGAGCAGGCATTTGCGGAGGAAGTCTGTTTGATTTTATATAGGGTATTGTGACAGGGTTCCCCTTTTTGGCATAACTTTTCTTGAGCGGGTGGGGGGGGGGGATTCAGGATATGTGTTATCTGGCTAGCATGCACAAACTGGCAGTGTTTCCTATGCTTGTTTTAGATGTATTATAACAAAGCTTGAACACAGCATAGTTCTTTTATGTTCAACATGCTGTTCCTGAGAGTCTCTGACGGTGAAAACAGAATAGGCCTAGATTATGTAACTCTTGAGCCTGTTGAGTTAATCTGTCATTTCTTTTTCAGATGTAACAGCAGCAAATGTTTATCACCTTCTGAAAAGAAGCATTAGTGCTTCAGTTAATCCAGGAGATAGTACTTTCCCTGGTGAGTATAGTAAATCTCCCTTGTGTCTTCTGGTACAGTATTTATTTGTACCGGAAATAAATTTAATTAGGTGTACAAGAAATACTTGTTGACTGTGTATAAGTCACTGGGATCTGAAGGTAACTAAGGAAATGCACAATCGAAAAAGATACTATCCTACTCTTCCTGATTCTTGAATGCCATAAAATTGTTACGAAATTATTTTGGGTTTTGAGCCTGAGTTTTGTTTTCGTCGTGAGATTTTCTTGCCCACCTGTAGCTGCATGTAAAATATGGTAGTGTGGCATTATAAGGAGGATTATTATTTTGTCCTGTGTACAAATACATTATTAATTCTCTTTCAACCATTTTTTACCTGAGTTCCTTTAATGCAAAGGTTTTTGCCAGCATCATTTTCTCTGGGACTTCTTCATTTTTTCGTCACAATTTTTTTTAATCACAGCAGCTATTATTACAATCTATTTGCATTAGAGTTGAGCATCAGTTTCAATGTTATCGCTTTGGTTTTTTGCTGTCCTTTTGTCTTTTCTTTTGCCATTTCCCTCTTCCTGTATCCATTTTTGTAAAATATCACAAGGATTTGTCCCTGGAAGACAGGCAACACAATTACATTTTTTGTCATCGTGCAAACCAAATAGTGTGCAGTGGCCACTTGGCAACAAACTTTGAGAGCAGTAAGTGGGCGCCCTGCCTAGTGTGGCTTTGTTGGTTGGAGCATTATCCCATTGCTGAAGGGTCGCGGGTTCGATTCTTGATTAGGGCACATATGTAGGTTGTGGGTTCCATCCTTGGTCCTGGTGCATACAGTAAGGCAACCAATCAGTGTTTCTCTTTCTCCCTTCTCTCCCTTTCTCTCCTCTCTTTCTAAAAGCAGTGGGACAAAATGGCCTCAGGTAAGGAAATAAATAGATGAAGGAAAGTAGTCACTGATTATCATTCACATATTTTATTTATGTATTGATTTGTGATCTGAGAAGCTAGCAATGAAGTTTTACTTTATGCAATTACAGTTAATTAATAAACCATGGTAACTGGAATTTGAACCCTATTTTAGGGGAGCTGGTGTTATTTAAACCACGATAACTGAAGTATGTGTGTATCAGAACCATGCAAAGAGAAAATTGCCCGTGGTGAATTTTAAGCTAGGATTATTGCTCACAGTAAAATGCCAAGTCTGAGGTCCAGGATGTGCCAATGGGATTATACTAGAGATAAAGGTGGAGAGGTAGGACTTTGTAAATCATGTCAGGGTGTTGGGATGTTTTGCTAGTGATGATCAGTAGCCAAGAAGGTTTTAGCGAAGGAAAAGACATTTCTATCTGTGCTGTTGAAGTATTCTGACTCTAGTGTAGTGGACAGTTTAGAAGATAGTATTGATGTAATATGAGGGAATTGCTAATACATGAGAGGGACCGCTAGGGTGGAGGAAAATGGATAGATCTAAAGGAAATTATGGAGGTAGAATTCACCTGATTTAGTATTGGATTGGCGTGATTAAGAAGAAGGGAAGAATGAGAAAGTAATTAAGAATAACATTAGATTTCTGACTTGAGTATTAGTGTGGTAATGTTATTTAGTGAGATCAGAGAATTAGATTTTGAGGGAAGACGGCATGTTCAATTCAGAACATCTGATTAGTTGACGTCTTAAAGATGTCAAAGTGAAAGTGGTTTGTAAAAGTTGGATACATGTGTCTGGACATCAAAAGGCAGAATAGGGCTCATAGAATAATCAATATATAGACGTCAGTTCAAGGCATGAGAAAGGGTAAGATGACTTTTGGATAGTGAGACAGGCAGAAACTTGAAGTGAATGCTCTTAAAGGAGCATCAGTTTTCAAAAGAATGAAAAGGAGCAGCTGGAATGATAGATTCTGCAGAAGCCAAGTGTTTTAAGTCAAATGTGCCATCTTTGATATTTTTTTCTCCCTCACGTGGAGAGGTCAAGTCACAACAGAACTAAAACGTGTCTGCTAGATTTAGTAACATGTTAGTTATTGGTGACTTAGTGAGTCTAGTTTCAGTGGCATGGTGGACACAAAAAGACTGAGATGGATTTGGAGGGGAGTAGGAGAGGGGGAGAAGAAATCACAACAGTCCGGTGTAGGCAGTGCTTTCAGAAAGTTTATCCCTGACAAAGAGTAAACAAAGAGATACAGTAATAACTGGAAAAAGGAGATGAATTTAAAGGAGATTCTTTAAAAACAATTTAAGAAACAGTTCTGCAAATTTAAATGCTAACAGGAAGGAACTGACAGAGGGGGAGAGATTGAAGATACAAGCAAGATAGGATCGTCCGTGGCCTGGGGTGGAAACATAGTTTGAAGGATAACCTTGGATTTGAAGGGCAGTACCTTTTATATCTTAACAGGAAGGAAAGAGGAAAAAGGCTTGGTGGGAATGCAAATAGGGTGAACTGTTTGTTGATAGCATTTATGGGAGCTATTATCTGATGGTTTCTATTTTCTTAAAGAAGAAATAGATAAGGTCTTCTGTTGAGATTGTTGGTATGAAGTGGTAGTAGACGCTTAGCATCTTTCCTAGCCTCGGTTAACACATTTCTTTTCTTTCCATTGAATCTAATTTCTTTGCATGGCTCTAAATTCATGATTTTCTGACATGCACCTTGGAAAGGCTTCTAATTTCCTGCTCTTGTGAAATATTCCAGGCTCCGAGAAGAGCATCTTTCTTCATTGTCTTAGGTTATAGCTACTCTCGAGCTCCTCCCTTGCTAGCCAGACCTTCGTGGTCTCTGAAGAGGGAATTGTTTGCTCTAAAATACCTGCATCACTTATGTGAATCAATAGAAACACAGTGGTTTTTTTTTCAACATCTTTATGGTAGATTTTAGTGTTTTAATAATGATTAAAATAATAATAGAGATTTTGAACTACGACTAACTAGACTGAAGTATTCATGGCACTTGAATAATTTTGCTGTTTAGGCAGATTGCTCTGTTTGGGTTTTTAGTAGAGATTCTACAAAGATGCTATATATGTGTATATATGTATTACATATATGATATTATCTACCAATATATATTACATATATAACTTGGAGCTATGTAATATGTATGAAAATTATAGAATTCTCCAAGCAGATATGCTATAACGTCTGCTTACTAGTGGTGTGCCCTTCTAATAGTGTGATTTTTTTCAAGCTTGTTCTGTGGGCGGTGCGCCTGGTTCCCAGAAGTGGTTCTTTGCAGTGCAGGCCGTCTGTGGATTTTACCAGGTAATGTACATTTAAAAACAATAGTCCTTAGTGTCTTTGCTGGTGTAAATCATTTCATGAACCCACCATTTAATGCAGTCTTTTGATTTATTAGTTTTGTAGTTCCGACTGGGAGGAGATACATTTTGGTATGGAAAAAGATGAAATTGAAGATGTTCTTCAAGCAAATATTGAAGAATATTTGAATAATGTTGAATGTTTTGAGGAAGAAGATAGTAATAGCCGGGAATCGTTATCCTTGGCTGAGTATGCTTTTTATGCTTTTTGTAATATCTTTAAACTATTTAACTTTAGGTAGTATTTGAGCTATAGACTGAAGATGAGATATTTAGCAGCTATAATGGGGGTTTCAGCTTTTCATTTTGGAAACCATTGGCAATTTGGGCCTTTTATTTGAATAAAATTCTTTAAAATGAAAAAAATCGAAGTCAGATAATATTTAGCTTCTTAAAAAGCTT